TGTGTAATTTCATTATTGTGATGTTTACTCCTCATCCCCAATAGCAAAAACCCAACAATATAAAGCAGTATGAACTAAGGGCATCTCCAATGGAACGACAAACAACCGTTCTTCCGTCACTCCAACTGAGCGTCAATTTTGCCGCTATTTCATCACGGGTGAGCAGTGGCATCACGGGTAAACAATGTCACACCATTGTTCACCCGCTAATTTTTTATGTGTTAACGGGATTTACCCGCGAAATGGAGAAAGACGGTTAGAGACGACGACGCCCACAAAATGGAGTTCGATTGGAGCAGAATTACCGTATTTTAGAGTTTTATTGTATTTTGTAGTGGAAAATGGGGTTTTCGGTTGGAGATGCCCTAAGAGCAGCAAATATCAGCATGCAGCTTAGGCCAGATTTAGGCCATATTGTCCACCAGAATAAAAGAACTAAGCAACTGAAAGTAGTATAGACAAGGTGAATCAATTAGAGAGACGAGCAATGACACAACACAGGTAGTACAGAATGGATCAAATTGGCACTAGCCATTAGACCAAATAACAGAACAATTGAGCCTTCGGAGAGTATTCTTGCATAAATATATTATATAGTTTATCAATAAAATTCAAATTAACTAAATTTAACTCTTATTTATAATTGAAATGAACTTTTAAAATTCTAATAAGTATATTTAGGAGAATAGGGTTGTGGCTAAGGGTGTAAACGAGTCGAGTCGAACTCCAGTTTTATTTTAGGAGTTCGAGTCAGCTCACGAGCAAACTTATTTATTAAGAAAGAGATAAAATGATTAAAATTCAAAGAATTATTATTAGAAAATGTTGCAATTTCGAGAAATTAGAAGAGGAAAAATAAAGAATCACTTGATAAAAAAAAGTGAGATATAATTTTTAGTTTTTTTTTTTAATAACTATACACTTAAACTCATGAAAAATAATATATCTTACATTAATATTTTTTTAAGGAGCAAGTTCATAAGCTAACTAGTCGAGTCAATGATTGCTCAAGCTTAACTCATTAGTTAATTTATTGAGCCCATCTCAGGAATCATTTATTGAGTAGAGCCACAACTAGCATACGAGTCAGTTTGATTCACTTGCACGCTAGTTGTGGTTGTCAAATCCATATGCAAAGTGAAAATTTGGTAGAAGGGCAACTTCTCTTTTAAATCTTTCACTGATGACTCAAAAACCTTTTTTATTTAAATATATTTGGCATAAGAATTATATGCTGAGATACTCAGTCTATTGTCGATTACTTCGTTTAGCGGTCTTAAAACTGTAGATAATTTGCTCGGAAGAAACATATGAGCATACTTACTAAGTGGGCTATGCAGCTCTTTGCCAGAATCTACCTCCCACCTATTTTTTGAATGTAAAATCTCTTGTCATTATAAACCATTTGATCCCTTGGTTGAGCTCCTTCTTTTTGGAGAAAATATCTCGTGCAAGTGTCGAACGCTGTTCAGAGACCAACCAGATTGTGTCACGTCACCCTCTGCTCGGTACCCGACTCGGCACTGCTCAATACTGCGACTCGGTACCCAGCTCGGTACTACTGACATGACACACTCTACTTGATCTCCGGACGATAAACTACGTTCGACATTCGCACAGAATAATTTCTCTTCTTTTTTGGCCTAACATATTACAAGTTTGTTATTTCATATATCTCTAAAGCCGTTCATATCAATACAGTTCAAAAAACTTGTATTATATGGTTATTTGTTGCACTTTGTTTTTTTTAAAGCTAGGTCCCTATTTTTTGTTATGGCTTTTAACAAATCGTCCATAACTTTGGGTTGTAATTTTCATTTTCATGCTTTAATCACTCATTATAGTTAGGGGTGTCAATTTCGGGTCACGGGTCGGGTTCGGGTCGGACCCGGAACTGACCCGGGTTCAAACGGGTTGACCCTAACCCGACCCGGTTAGGCAAACGGGTCGAAAATCCGAACCCGAACCCGACCCGGCGGGTTGTCGGGTTGACCCGACACGGAACGACCGCGCGAGCGCTGCAGGGGCGAAGCGCGCGGGGTGACCGCGCGAGCGCGGGCGAAGCGCGCGAGCGCGTCGTAATAAAAGAACTAAGCAACTGAAAGTAGTATAGACAAGGTGAATCAATTAGAGAAACGAGCAATAACACAACACGCAGGCCAGAAAGGATCAAATTGGCACTAGCCATTAGACCAAATAACAGAACAATTGAGCCTTCGGAGAGTATTCTTGCATAAATATATTATATAGTTTATCAATAAAATTCAAATTAACTAAATTTAACTCTTATTTATAATTGAAATGAACATTTAAAATTTCAATAAGTATATTTAGGGCAATAGGGTGTAAACGAGTCGAGTCGAACTCCAGTTTTATTTTAGGAGTTCGAGTCAGCTCACGAGCAAACTCATTTATTATGAAAGAGATAAAATGATTAAAATTCAAAGAATTATTATTAGAAAATGTTGAAATTTTGAGAAATTAGAAGAGGAAAAATAAATAATCACTTGATAAAAAAAAAGTGAGATATAATTTTTAATTTTTTTTAATAACTATATACTTAAACTCATGAAAAATAATATATCTTACATTAATATTTTTTTAAGGAGCCGGTTCATAAGCTAACTAGTCGAGTCAATGATTGCTCAAGCTTAACTCATTAGTTTATTGAGTCAATCTCATTAATCATTTATTGAGTAGAGGCACAACTAGCATGCGAGTTAGTTTGATTCACTTGCACGCTAGTTGTGGCTAATGCTATCTAGAGGCATTGTCGAATCCATATGCAACTAAGTGAAAATTTGGTAGAAGGGTAACTTTTCTTTTAAATCCTTCACTGATGACTTGTACGATGACACTCGAAAATCTCTTTGGTTTAAATATGTTTGGCATAAGAATTATATGCTGAGATACTCAGTCTATTGTCGATTACTTCGTTTAGCGGCCTTAAAACTGTAAATAATTTGCTCGGAAGAAACATATGAGCATACTTACTAAGTAGGCTATGCAGCTCTTTGCCAGAATCTACCTCCCACCTATTTTTTGAATGTAAAATCTCTTTTGTCATTATAAACCATTTGATCCCTGGGTTGAGCTCCTTCTTTTTGGAGAAAATATCTCGTGCAAGTGTCGAACGTTGTTCAGAGACCAACCAGATTGTGTCAGGTCACCCTCTGCTCGGTACTCGACTCGGCACTGCTCAATACCGCGACTCGGTACCCAGCTCGGTCTGTTGACATGACACACTCTACTTGATCTCCGGACGATAAACTGCGTTCGACATTCGCACAGAATAATTTCTCTTCTTTTTTGGCCTAACTTATTACAACTTTGTTATTTCATATATCTCTAAAGCCGTTCATATCAATGCAGTTCAAAAAAACATGTATTATATGGTTATTTGTTGGACTTTTTTTTTTAAAGCTAGGTCCCTATTTTTTGTTATGGCTTTTAACAAATCGTCCATAACTTTGAAGCCGTTATTACGTCTTCCGACCGGATGCAGAGGAACATCCGGTTGTAGGAAAAATATTGCCTATACCGAGGTGTACCGAGTTTTTTGGAAATTATAATTTAAGTGTGATCAGATCTACGGCCGGACGGTTGACGGAAGCAATTCCTCCCCTCTCAACAGCATTAAAATCCTCTAAACTTTCCGACAAAAAAAATAAAAAAGAATTGCATCCAAACATAACAAAAGCATAAACCTGATTGTTCCCATCATGAATCCAATAATGCATAAACATGTGAACACAGACAAAAAACCTGTATCACGTAATGTATCTAATAAGTTCAATTTTAATCATTGTAGTAGTAAAACACTTGCCTTTTAGAACTGAAATAACACACAACTCTCCTTGGCCTCTTGGTTGAGAGCTTAGGCTTCCAACTAAGAGGTTCAAGGTTCGAGTCTATGTGTATGCATTGTGTGTGTGAATTTGTCTTAAATGACCTAAATGTCCAAAAAAAACGGAAAACGGAATGGTGGAGATTTTGGCAGAGCAGAATCTTTGCAGGGTTTGATTTTTTGCCACTTTGAGTACTGCCATTGCTTTTAACTTACATAACCAAATCAATATAAAAAGAAGATTAGTAAATAAAAAACCAGTTCCAAAACATAGATACTAAATTAATAAATGAAAAGACGAATAGCAAATGCAAAACCACTTTGTGCTCATTCAAATGCAAAATTAGGGAATGTAAATCCACTTTGGGAATGCTGCTCATTCAAATACAAAATTAGTGAATGCAAAACCATGTCATGTTCTTCAAAACATAGAAAATCTCTCATCAGATACATTATTTCATTTATGAAAGCAGCAGAACCTACATGACCTCTGAAGAGGAGTTGCAACTGATTAGCGATAAGCAAGTTCCAATAGACCACCGCCAGAGAAGAGTTGCTGGAGAAAGCGAAAAATTGTGTATGGCTGTCATGGGAGAAAACAAATCAATCAACTGTGGAAAGAGTTTTGAAAAATTCCATAATGATTAGACGAGCTTACATGAGATGCGATGGAGCCTTCGAAGTGACTAGTGAAGTGATGGATTCGGCGAGATGAAGATGGATGAGTTGTTAAGTTCGGCGACAGAAAGATGAGCAAAACAACTATTTGGCGAGAGGGAGAATTGCAAAGAAAACTAATTTCACAAGTAATTAAAATTTTATAATTTTAATGAACGATCAAGATTTTATGAGGGTGGAAACTCAAGTCACACTTATAATAGTAGTATAGATAATATGTGTTAATTTGTCTTAAGCTTCGTTTGGGACAGCTTTTCTACTATTTCTTAAAACAATTTTCTAATAAAAAATTAATATTATTGTACTACAAAGCTACTTTAATGAATTCAACCACAACTCCTAAAAGGCCTTTCAAGTGAAGAGAGATTCAAGAAAGAGAAAAGATGCTTAAAAAAAAAAAGTAAGACATGCAATAACTCGTTGAGCCTTAAATGTGGGTAATGCATCTATTACATACAAAGAAGGGAGTAGGGAGTTAAACAAATTTATGTGAAAGTGAACGAGACTTGCAGTGAATAGGGCTGTTGTTGACTGAAGGGCTGATCTTAAGTTCTTCAAAAACCTTCAGAGTCTCGATGGCCAAGCCACTGTCCACACTTCCTAAAGAGACCCTCTTATGAGACTTTTGCAAGTGAAGCTTAAGTGAACTCGTGCTCAGCCCTACATCCTTCCCACAAATTGGGCAAACCTTCATTACAGGCTTCTTGTGCTGCCAATCCATGGAAACCTTTCCATGAAGCCTCAGATCGAGATTGAGCAATGCCTTGGCGAAGCCATCATTTGGTTGCGCTCGCCCATGCTTCTTCCTCAGCATATTCCATGATTCTGATAATGTGAGACCACTGAAAACCAAGAAAATTAGAATTTATCAGAGGAAGAAGATTGCAAAAGACTCTAAGATCTAAAAATTACATAACCACCACCACCACCACCTACTTCCTCATCATCAAGAAGGCAAGAATTATTGTCGCGCTTCGGCTTTTTCCTTCGAAACAATGAACTAGCACCTTTCCGCCTGAATTAACGACAGTGGCAATGAAATCACAGGCCTCAACAAAAAGGCTACTGATGTCTTCTTCATCACGGTCACTTATCTGTATTCATTTTTGTTTTAGTTAAAGTTGATAAAGAGTATAAGATTTCGTTTGGGATGACTTTCTTGCTGCTTCTTAAAGTAGCTTTCTAGTAAAAATAAAATTTTTGTATTAAAAAACTGCTTTAAGAAGAAGTAAGAAAGCCGTCCCAAACGAAACCTAAATGAATGGGTTCTAACATTGTGCAACCATAGCACCATTTGTTTAAAATAAATAGAAAGGTCAACCTTGTTCTAGTCATAATAAATTCAAGAACCTAAATTAGCTATAAGAAGGAAATGGAGGAAGAAATACTTACAGAGAAGTTTTTGTATTCAAAAAATTCAGGATGTTGAGAATCTGATTGTCCAATTTCATTTAGGCACAAGCAAAGGATGTGTGTGATGCCCAAGTACTGCAAAGTATGCATAGACTTTGCAGCCAATGCTCCACCAATAAACAAATTATCTGTGACCTGAGACGGCCGCTCTGTAGTCATAGCATCAGAAATCAACGCTATCCTATCCAATATATGCTCAAGTCGAACCTACAATAGCTCATGACAACTTAACAAAAAATAAAAATAAAAAAATAAAATAGAATTAAAGTGGGCTGTTAGGTTATTTTAGTTATGTCATTATTTTAAAAGCCTAATTAACAAGTACGAACAAAGAGTTTCCTTTCGAAATAGTTTGGGGACAACAATATGGCTTCTCTAAATTTGAAGGATAAAATAATGACTTAGAAAATAGCTGTTGGACTAAAGTTTAATCTTTCAACTATAGTTATATAAATAAAAGCAAGTGGACATTACCTTCAACTCATATGCATCAATGGCAAGATTACTATCATTCCCATCAAAGAAGCCAGTATTGAAATTATTTTCCTGGCAAAATTTAACAACGTCTATTTTCAGCATCTCAATCCATTGTTCCAAATCCTTGTTAAATTCAACATCAGCCTGCATGATGAAGGATGATATACAAATAACGTGTTAAATTGTAGAAGATATTCAGTAAATTCATGAACTTAAATATACACAATGCAACATAAGGGTCTGGGGTAAATTCATGAACTTAAGGTTTTGTTTGGGACGGTTTTCTTACTGCTTCTTAAAGCGCGACTTTTTAGTACAAAAATTTAATTTTTTGTGCTAAAAATTTATTTTAAGAAAACAGTAAGAAAGCCGTCCCAAACAAGGCCTAAATCATTTATTATGCAACATTAATGTCTTGAAATTATATAATCAATAGTACTGAGCAGATTCAATCCAATTATTGTTGGGAAATTTTCTTTTACCTTCACAAACTTGTGAAGATCACGAAGCTTCATTGTCAAGCGCAATCTATGGGACTGCTCACTTCCTTTGAAATACTTACCACTCCAATTTCCTCTAGAACCAGAGGATGTGGACTTAGGGCTTCCACAATGTTCCGGTTCTCCTTGGGGTGAATACTTTGGAGTGTTTCTACGAGTTTCTGAATCACTAGAATCTGCACGGCTCTCATTAGCAGATCGCTCCTTACAGAGGGAATTGCTAATGCCCAAATCTGTTGAACGTGGAGAGCAATAATTCCGCGACTCATCCTTCTCAGCATCATCAGAGTTTCTATTTACAATCGACAAGAAAATTCGAAAAAGCCCATCTAATTTCTGATTAAGCGTAAGGAGAATAAAATAAAAGCTTTGCATGTCCATCAGGGCATCACGAAATCCGCTTCTAAATTTGCGAACAACTTTCATCATATCATTATAAGAAAGAGAAGAAAAAGTTGATGAACAAGGAAATAGGATATCGGCTTCTTCTGATGCAGAAAATCCCAGTTTACCACCAGATATTTCGTGTAATAGGTTGGAAGAATACTCTAAACTATTAAGTAAAAGCTCAACCAACCTTGGGTATTGCTCTTGATCTTTTACACGTTTGCCTGCTGGAGGTCTGCGAGGAACCCCAGTATCAATAGCCACAATACGAAAGTCAGCGAGTTCATCTACATTGTTTGCTTGTTCCCCAGTGGATATGTGACTCATTTCATTCAATTCAACAGAGTTATGATATAAATCTTTTCGTCTGTTTAAGGAGTCTACTTTCTGGTTTTTCTGCAAGGATTTGAAACCAGCTGGGGTATATCTTTTGGAAGAAAGACCACTGATTGCATCAAGTGCATCCAATTTTAATGAAATTGTTTTATCCACAAAGAGTAGATTTCCAGGGTTGCCGCGCCACCCAAGCTGATGACAAGGGAGTCTGTCCTCATTCCTAATAATAAGATCCAATAGTAGTATCCTACCAAGTGCAGCAGCAGTATTTTCAGCAGCTTCCAGTGAATCAAAAGCTTGTGAATTCTTGAGAAGAGGTGATCCATGAACATAACTAAATAATGAAGCAACAATTAGATTATGATAAAACAATTAAAAAGAGTTCCTGAATAAGGGCAGGTACAAATCTCACTTCATTAGCAGTATACAGCGACTCATTTCTAGAGCTTCCAACAGCTCTGAGCATGTCATTTCACCAACTTCATCACCAACGGAAGCAGCACCATTACATGCATTTTCTGCTGCATCTTTGATAATTTGCCATTCAGGGCTGAAGTTTTGGACCACCCTAGCCTGAAAATTTTCCAAGATTGAAGTAGACATTGCATTAACAGAAAATAAACCAAGCAAGAAAAGTAAAAAAACACACTTGAGGGGTTTGCACTCCAAGCCATCTAGCGAACTCATAGCCCAAGCATTCTGAAAGTGTGGTCAGCCTTGAAGATGTTATCTTTATAACTGCTGCTATTTCCCTTGGTAGAAGAGCACTATCCTCTGGATTGTTGAACAAAGCAAAGAAAACAACTCCCCCAGAATTTACAGTCACCTGCAGAAAGACAGCACCAACAAGGTTACTTGAACCATTAAAGTAAAAGCATACATGTCAATCTAATTAAACTAAAAGATATTTTATAAACCAATATTCGAGCTGTTTTAGAACACATTTCCTCAATTGATCATGTAGATACCATAGATGAAGCATAGTGAGTACTAATATAAGGGTTGTACAGCAATTAACCTCTAAAACTTTGTTCAATTCATCTTCAGAATGCTCATTACTGCTAGTATGCTCAGTATGATGTAGGGATGAAAGACAACTCCATGTGATGGCACCTGATTCAATGTTCAATGTTGCAGCATTTCCAAGTCTTTCCCACAAACTCATTTCTGGAGTTTGGTCCAAAGGAAATGACTTATCATCAAAATCATTGGGTTGGCCTGAAATTAGTTCTGTGGCACTGCAGTAAAAGATTTCCATAAAGAAGTCAACAAAAGAATGATTTTTTAAACACTAACGGGCAAAACTAGGTTACATGCAAGAGCGAAGACTGCATAGCCTACACCAAAACAGCTAAGAATGATAACAAGTACAATTAGCTTTTTAAAATAAATTATGAGCCTATGAATCAATGAATAATTTCCTGTATTCTTAGCAAATTCAGAATGATTTTTTAAACACTAACGGGCAAAACTAGGTTACATGCAAGAGCGAAGACTGTATAGCCTACACCAAAATAGCTAAGAATGATAACAACTACAATTAGCTTTTTAAAATAAATTATGAGCCTATGAATCAATGAATAATTTCCTGTATTCTTAGCAAATTCAAACACTCACCAATATTTGACGTGGGGGCAATTTTAACCAAACAATTCTGAGCTATGTGCACAAATCACCATCTGCAGCCCAACGAATTAATATAAAAGTGGCAGTTCATGACGTCATTCCATGAGCAATGAAAACAACCAAACCCTACACCATCCACACTATTGGAGGTGGTGGAAGGGTGCTAATGCAGATCAAGAGACCCTATACTCAGCAAGTAACACATAATATTTCCGTTTCCCTTGTATGCACATAAAATCTATGAGTGCTTAGATTGTTCAAACAGCAAGGGATCACTGAATGGGAGTTTTTCCCCAAACAAAAATTAATGAAATACATCATCTACAGTGACCATTACTTGTTTATTAAATAACAAGCTCGTATTGGATCGATACCATAGTATGGGAGCTTCAACATTTCTTTTATACAAGTCAGCTCTTTATGGAAAGCCCCAAGAACCCTGAAATGCATCCAAATGCATCATGTTTTCACTAAGGCTTCGTTTGGGACAGCTTCTTTGATGCTTTCTAAAACGACTTTCTAGTACCAAAATTTCTTGAATTAGAAAATTTTAACTAAAAAACAGATTTATAAAGTAACAAAAAACCTATCCCAAATGAAGCCTTAGAAACAATCTTGGGAGGGCATGTGATGTAGAATGAATGCAACTACAAAAGCAAGATCTGTTAATTCATTTAACTATTGCTTTTCTTCTATCAATCAAAAAAGTTCACCTAGTTTGTATTGGAACAATGTAGTACATATACATCAACTGCGCATGCATCCGGATGAAACTCAAGGCAATTGATCTTGATCAACACATTAAAATTACATATAACCCAACTTTATTCAAGTTTTTGACAATTTGATTGGAGCATCAAACTTAAATGAAACAGGGACCATATAACTATTTGTAACTACCAAAAAATTTGCAACTGTTCTGAATGTTGAGTTATTCGAGCATAGAAAATTACATAAACTTCCAAAATAATGATAAGAATTTGTATCTCATTATCGGTCATTCTTTACTTTAATATTGGATGTAGCCGATTGAAAGCCCAATGATATTAATATTTGAACATATTTGGTCTCGAACTAGTATACTAGATTCACTCAAGAAGCTAAAGAACCATAGTTTTGTTCTTCATTTCAGGAGCTTTAAAATAACAATATACTCTCAGATAAAAATGGGAAGGAAATTTCAACTTTTTACTCAGGGGATTGGCTGAGCATGCGTCCACAAATATTTATTTTTATACTAAGCATTTGATCGTAACCCTGTAAAAAATTTCTGCAAGCACAAAGTCCTTCTCCCTCTAAATATATAAAGTGAGATTTACATAATTATAAATCCCTCATTGAGGATTTCATTTAGATTATTTAAAGGATGGAGAAAATATGAGAGAATCATGTAATAATTTTAAGAGGTTTGGGAAGATCCTACATTCACCATGTTCCTAACAGTGCAATAGAAAGGTTTTGATGTGCATGTGTAAACCAATTTGTCTGCGTAACATTAGCCTTATTAGTTCAAAGGATAAAAGCATAGCAATAATAAATCTAATTTTTAAATTTCAAATTAAACCCGGCAATGTAAGTCTACTTCTATGGCATTCATCATTCCTAAGCAGATTAAATTCAAACCCTAAAGCCGAGGGTAAGTTCACATAGTTAAGCAGATGATAAATATAAACATATTGCGTCAACATCCAAATGTAAAACCAGGAAGAGTTCCCAACAGATTCATTAAACTAACCTAAACCATATTACCTCTGCTTTTGATCCATCAAGAACCCTCGAGACATTGATTCGGCCATCGCCAAACGATGGGGAAAACCCGACGGCTTGAATTTACCACTCCGCTTACGCACTAGAGCCAACCATCTCTCCAATACCTGAGCCGTACCCACAACTTCTCCCCACAGGAAAGATGCCACCTGCCGAAACCCACAATAAATCCATAAAAGAAACGAAAAAGAACTAAGATCTAAATGAAATTAAGTTAGCCGGTGAAGAAATACCTGGGAAGGCAAAGTCTGCTCCCTCTCCGCTTCACATTCCTGGAAGAGCAAAATTAGGAAAGTTCAGATTCCATGCAAAAGAATGAATTTTGTACTGCGGTTTTGATCCATGTCCGTCAAAGCAAACGGTTGAGTTGTAAAGAGACTACCTGTGGGTCTGTAATGATGGTAGCGGCGAAGGAAGAAGAATCGGCGTCATGGCCATTTTTCTCCAATGCAGACATGAAGAGACTAGTTTTGCTTCAAGCCTTTTCACCGATCTGTTTTATTCCTTTCACCAGAAAATACTTATAAAAAAAGAAAATATGTATAAAACAAAATTCAAAATAAATTCAATTTATACACGTTCTTTCCTAAAAAAAATCATTATACCCTGAAAAAAATTAGGACCAGTGATAAGTTTTAAAAAATTTGCCAAGGAGTTGCAAGCCATACAGCATCAAAACCATAAAACCCAACGAGAGGCTTTCATTGACTTGGTAAAATTAAGGGAATTTTTGTACTAGAAAGCTGCTTCAAGAAGCAACAAAAAAGTCGTCCCAAACGAAGCCTAAGTCATCTTTAATGATAAAGTAGGCTTAATTAGGTCCTATTGCAAAACTTTGAATAAACTTCCAAAAAAACTTGATATATACAGATTATATCTTTTCAAACTACTTGTGCGTATCAAACATGGCAAAGCATTTACTTGCATGGAAAAGAATTTGACTAAGGCCCAACAATCCCACTTTCCATGTCAACAAATTTTATTTTATTCGAACCACCCTTTATTTCCTTTATTCACTGAACAAAACTGCTCACATGTACATTAAAAAAGCATAGTTTATAGTGGAAGAATTTGTAGGATTTCATTAAGAGATAAAAAAATAATAATAAATATGGATCTATATGAGAACAAATCTACAAAGTGGGAAGATCAAACGGGAAACAGAAAGAGACTTTGGACGTGTAAATGAGTCATTAACAGGTAGATAATCCAAAAGGAACTAATGAGGAGCTGACAAATGGGTTTCCTTAGTTGAAGACAACAATCTAACAAACCTGAAAGACTTTGCAGAAAGCTGAGACTGAGAGGTCCATTAAAATGGCCTTGAAATGGCACTAAGCTTAAAAAGGATGCATGATAATCCACTAACACCGACATAGCATCAAATATGTTAATGGCAATGTTAGGATAGAAAGAAAGAGAAAGAAAAAGGGTATAGAAACCTTTTTTTTAATTGAGATGGTTACCATATTTTGTAAATATGTTTATAAAGTTTTTGTGTGAAAAATATTTTTTTTTTTGATAAGGTAATATAAGCCAAAAAATTACTAATTTTCTACATGACAATAGTTTTTAGTTAAAAGATTTGCTTCTTATTCTGTTCATGTATTGCATCTTTTCAAAACATTTTCAATTCATAAATTAGTGATTTTAAAAAGTTATCTAAGTTATTTGACAAACTTTGTGGCCTTGGAAGTAATAATTGTCGTAAGATAAAAAAGTGTTTCATACACCTCTATGATGGTAAGTTATACAAAACAATCCTAGGATTGACCCACATATATATGGAGTATTTGAACATCTAAAAGGTTTAAAATCATATATATATATATATATTTAAAATTATCAATTGAAAATTCAAACAATGGGAATCAAAGAGAAGTGTGAATTAAGCTTCGTTTGGGGATGGCTTTTTCTGCTTCTTAAAGCAGCTTTCTAGTACAATTTTTTTTTTTGTACTAAAAAATTGCTTTAAGAAGCATAAAGAAAGTTGTGCCAAACAAAGCCTAAGTGTTGCAGAGATGAGGATGTTGAGGTGGATGAGTGGCTTCACTCTTAAACTTCGTTTGGGACGGCTTTTCTACTGCTTCTTAAAGCAATTTTTTTGCAATAAAAGCTGCTTTAAGAAGCAGTAAAAATGACGTCCCAAACGAAGTCTTAGAGACAGAATGTAAAACGAGTTCATACGTAAAAAAGTTAAAGTAGCTCCAGTGGTAGTTAATATTAGAGAGAGTTGTCTTCTATAGTTTGGTCACATAAAAATCAACCTTTCACCGACCTAGTTAGGAGAGTAGATGATATGTTAGACTTCGTTTATGTTAGGAAAAATAGAGATAGACCTAAAAAGATTTGATTAGAAAATATTAGCAATGACATTTTTTTATTAGATTTAAACGGGAATTCAACTCTTAACATCTTACAATAGAGATGAAAGATTCATGTAACTGACCTCACGTGGTGGGATACAGACTTGATATTATTATTATTGTTATATTAAAAAAATATCAAAGCCCAATTAAATAAAGGTGAAGAGAGTCTATACTAATTCCTTAATAGATAAGTCTAAGAATAAAATATTCGAGATAATTTGTTTTACTATTTTTATGATAAAAAGTGGCCAATAAAATGCAATATGCGATTCTTAGTTTGTAAGATAATTCAAAAGCTATCTATGTAAATAATAATAATAAAAAAACCAAAAAAATGATGTAAATCCAAAACATAGATAGCTTTCAAATCATAAAGAAAACTTTTTTTCTTGGAAAGCTATTAACACAGCTCCTAAAGAAGTAAATTGCACATGCTCAAAGGTCCAAATCTTGATATCAAAATTTTTTTTTCTTTATTGAAAAAAAGGCAACCAAGGCTTAATGAAATAAAAGTAAAGAGAGTCTCTACAAAGTTCTTAACAGATAAGGCTGCAAATATAATATTTGAGATATTTTATGATAAAAAAAGTGACAAATAAAAAGCAATCTACCATCCTTAGTTTGTAAGATAAGTCAAAAGCTATATCCAACCATTGCTGAAAAAGCCATCCAATAAGGCTCGAAAATTCCATGATTGTCCCAAAAAGAAGAACCGCCCATGAAAATAATAATTACAATGAGAATTGTAAAACAAAAGCTAAAATTCAAGGTTAAATGTGATTAGAACATCTATAATTGACGTTGTTAGTCAATTAATGTAGCGGAGATCTAGACAAAGAAGTAAGTAGGGGTGTCAATATTTGACACAACCCAAAAATTAGACAAAAAATCGACCAGAAATTTTGGGTTCGAGTCAATTCGTTTAGAAAACGGGTCGGGTTTGTGTTTCAAATCCTTGCCAAATTACAAATTCGGGTCAGGTTTGGGCCAACCCAAAATTCCGAAATCAACTTAGAATTGACCCGTTCGCTGCGCAATCGTGCTAGTCCGTCGTCGCCATCGTCCTCGCAATCCGTCAATATGTAGTCATCTCTACTCGCCCACTCTTTCGCTTGCACAATTCTGCTCTTCCTGGTGATCGGGTCGAGGCGGGTCGACCCAGGTTAGGGGCAGGTAGGGTCTAGTTTTAGATTTCAGCCCCGTTTGTTTAATCGGGTTAAGTTCGGGCCGAATCAGTTGAAGGCAGTTCAATTTCAGATTGAACATGAGCCCAACCCAAATACTTATTTTGACACCCATAGAAGTGAGCGATTGTCATTCAAAAAAGAAAAAATTTGTTATTGTTAATACAATGGTATTATGTCCTCCATTCCGAACAAAAGTAAGAATTATTAACTTGTCTCAAACTTAAGTGAGGCAAGAAAAGGAAAGAGATCGACTTTGTAAAAATTATGGAAGGTTTAGTAATGCACCACAATGTATTTAATTGGTGAGAATACATTCACAAATGAAATGATATTCAATTTTAATCTTTTGGTGCAAGCGTGAGAGATAAAATAGATTTTTGGCAAGAAACGCTGTAGAAATGTTATCACAGCACAAAGAAGTCGAAAGATTTTTTGCAATAAAAAATTTATTTAGAAAGCAGCAAAGTCAAAATGATGTTGGTTGCAACGGTGCTAAGAACTTATAATGTTCTACTTTGGTGAAAGAATAAGCTACAATGGACTATTTTCTTTCACACAATATGAAATAAGAGTATGACCAAGAAAGGTGTAGTAATGGGTGGTTGATTTTGCATTGGAAGAGTCATGGGCCTAAGCAAAATCAAAGTAATTATGTAGAACATGATATCAATCCATGTAATAATATTTTATTGGCTTTCAAGGCTTTCCAAAATTATATAGGCTCGGAAAAGGCCTATAAATAGGACATTGCTTTATACTTTTGATTCATTGAATAAATTATTTTTTTTCTTGTGCAAATTTTGTGGGACTTGGTGGCTATTTTTACTCATTGGTGAAGCTTGGTGGTTGGTCCTTTAAAATTTTTGTGGATCCTTAATTATCTCTTCTTACTGTTATTCATTATTTTTCCCTACACAATTTTCATCTTCTCTACTGAGCCTCAATATCAGCATCCTTTATCCTCAAATATATCAAACCTCTCAATAACTCTCCTAAATAGTCCTACACATATCTCGATTATAACCTCCCGATGCATTAACTTTCTAAAAACCCTAATACAGAAAAGTTAAAATTTCAATATAAAGAGGTGATTTTTTTTCCGTGAGCAACCAAATTAACATTCCATAACTTCTCAATGAGTGATCTAAATCCATAAAAATAACGCAATTACTTCCCCAACATCCCAAACCTTTGATCTATAATTTCTTATTATTTCTATCCAACGAAAACCCAACCTCTGGAAGCTTATAAGTTTCAGAATCACATATTCCAAAGCCATCGATTCCAACTTCAACAAGACCAAAATACCCCCTCCATCACCACCCTAAAAGGACACCAATTCAAGTTGTTGCTTTGACCATAAAGATCTCATTGATAGTACATCATATTGGTATTAGAGCTGAGGGCTCTAAAGAAGTTAAGGTCAAGGAGCTTGAAGACAAACATAATTCACAACATGAGCCATAAATTTTTGCGGCAAGATCTAATTTTTTTAACAATTGAAGGACTCAAGAAATACCGACCACCACATCATATTACTATTAGATATTTATGATAAAGAATTAAGTTAATTCAAGTTTCTTTCCTTGGTGTTGTTGTTAGTAATCTTAATTTAACTTTTATAAGAGTGTCGCGACACTAGGATGGGCGGCACTCAGCTTTGTGCTCTCGAGATTTTGGAGAAGAAATGGGTGATTAGAATGTCCGTTGTGGTGCAAGGTGGCTCCGCCATGGCGTCGGGTCTCACATGAAGAGATTATGGGATAATCTAGAAGATTTATTGGGAGTGCAGCGGCGTTGGGGAGTAGAGCATCGCAACACTAGGTCATATTAGTATTTTTGTATGTTAAAATATCTCAAAACATCTCCTATAATTAATCTATTACCTAGCCATCCCTCCACTTCATCTTAGCTTGGCTGACAAAGAGGCAGAGAAAGGAAGAAGTGGAAATGAGAGAGAAAGCTCATCCCGAGTCATTTTTATCTGTCATTCTAATTGAAAAAAAAAATATTTTGATTATGATAGGTAACCCAAATCCTATTGTTTCTTTCAGTGGTTTCAATTTCTTCTATTTTATCTCTCGTGAACTTAATTAAAATATAATATCTCTCATTCTAGTAATTTTTCATCATATAATTTTTAATATGTTATAGATATTATTATCTTAAGCATTGTTACTAGTTAATATTAAAATTTTACTAAGTGATTTAGCTTATATATAATTTTGGAGAGTATAATATTAATTACAAAATGATTCTAAATCAATATACTGCATCTATATATATATATATATATATATATATATATATATATATATATATATATATATATAGTTCATTTAGTTCAACATGTATTTTAGACATTCTACGAGCATAGTAATGAGTATAATGATAGCTGCATTGAATATATATGATATTTGTTACTATATATTTTAGTTGAATAACTAATAAATGATCTGTAGATTATATCCATTTCTCAATAGAATATAAAATAAGTATCAATGAAGGGCATGATGGTAGCATACAGTGCAGTAGCCAAATTCTTATATAGAAGCATCAAAGACTCAAAGTATGTAATGAGGATGTGGAGAAAATTGACCACCATCCTTGAGAACCAGTATGGTCAAACATATAGTGTAATCAACATGATATCCATTGAAAACATTTGCTCTAAGAAGTTTCAAAACAAGAGAGCATCATATAGGATAGTTCTTAGTTGTCAACTAGGAATCAAGAGTAGTTTTGATGTGAGATATCAAAATTTTGAGTAGAGTGGGAATAACTACCTCATTCAATTTGAGAAGAGAAATTTCTTAAATTGCTTGAGTGTTTAAAGCAGAAGTAATAGATTGACCCATTTAGAGGTGTTTGAGAGAAGAAGAAGAAGAAGAAATAATAACAAAGTAAATCAAAGAAAAATTCGCTAAGACGAGAATCTGTAGAGAGCATTACCATGAGACATCACCCTAATACCATAAAGAATATTAAGAAATAGAAATCGAGAAAGTGAAACTTTCTCGATAACAAAGATAGTTTTGCGTGAATGGTTGAGAATTTACATGACAACAGAAGTTTTGCATGAATACGTATAATTAACTTTGTTAGTTTTATAGAAGATATATATATAAATAAATAAATTAAAAAAAAATGTTGTTGAAATGTAATCTAGCTTCGTTTGGAACACCTTTCATATTATTCCATAAAGCAGCTTTTTAGTACAAAAATTAAAATTTCTATACTAGAAAGCTGCTTTAAGAAGCAATAAGAAAGCCGCCCCAAACAAAACCTTAAGCTACTAATACAGTGCTATCATTAATATGAATATGCTAAAAGCATTGCTTTCAAATTTCTCCCACACAACTTAAGAGCTACAACATGTGAATACAATGCATATATACAACTTAATATTTGTGCGCCACATCACTCTTCAATTAATAAGCAAAGCAAGGCACTTTGAGAAATTTTCAAAATGGGTTGGTGGGTGGAGATTGGACATCATGATGATGAGAGTTGGATTGCTTGCTCCATGTACAACTTTATAGCCACATAGAAAATAACTGAGGATTTTTGCTATGAGGAATTCTAAAGCATTTCAAAAGAGTTAGTGAGTGGAAGGTGACTCCAATAGATTTGTGGGACATTCTGAAATGTATAATGCAATCTTAGTAGGATGAAGGCATGCATTTTGAGGCATATCTTTTCCAAGCTTTGTGTTGAGCAAGTGGATAATGGGCATACATCATAGAATATGGGAAAGCATATATTTTTTTTATTTGGGTTGACCAAAAAAGATTAGTCTAGTCTAAGTTGGGACTAGTAGTAGGTAGGGCTACCGAAAAAAGTTGTTTGTTTGTGGATAACTTATTCAGATTGCTAAGAATTTTGTGATCTAATTTATTGCTATGAAAGTAAGCTTAATGTGGACAAATATTTTGAGCATGCTTTTTAAGCGAGTTGAAGATATACATGTAGCAAAAAATGCCATTTCCTATTACTAAAAAAGGCTTTGATATAATATAATAAATATAAATTATGGAAGGCAGCTTCCATGGTTAAATTATGAGTCTGACTTAGGGCATTGGAGTTTCCATCAAATAATCATTGATGTGTTCATCATTATTCTTGTATGAGTGACGATCAATGACCATGAATTCGAGCATTTTCCTTGACAACAATAGTGAGCATCACACTTGCTAATGACGACATAAAATTGTCGGTCATATTAGGAATAATTGGTGGGACGGTAATAGTAGCGACAGAGATGTTAGTTGGTTAGAAATCATAGGCATAGACGTTGATGTCAATAGTAGACATTTGAATGAATATTAAAGCTCCAAGACTAAGAACAAAAAGGCCCTCATCATTTTCTAATCTTAAAACACCAATTTCATGAATCTAATAAAAAAAATTGTTGATCATCACATATGACAACATTTTAAGAGATCAACAGCACATAAATCTATCATCAACATTCGATCTATCCAATAGATATTATAATTTTATCAGTAATACATTTTAACATTAAAAGTTTTATAGGAATAAAATTGCATCATATCATTTTATTAATTATTTTTGCTAACTAATTTCAAAATGTATGAAATCTAAACTTATTAAAGCTTAGGTTGACTCAGGCCAATCCACAACAACATTGGGTTCCTCCATTAAAGGGCATCCTATGCCAACACAATCAAATCCCACAACCAAGACTTTCTAATAATGTCACTCAAATAATTTAAAGGGACAAATGTCTAATTTTACAATATTTATTTGAATGGTCAACATCAAATCATAGATTTTTTTTTTTATTGGGGGCTTTTATAAAAAAAAAATGATTTCTTTGATTTACCATTAACAAAAATATGCCCTTTAATTTACCTCTCAAAACAAATTGATGATCTTTTCTAATAATATCGCTTAGTAAATATTAAAAAATAAAAAAATTCCAAATTTTCAGATATTTTAGTAGAAAAATATTGTTATTAAATTAAAAAAATATTTATCATATTATCATCATAAAATTATTAAAAAAATTTGACTAAAGAGATTAGTGTCTACACATTATATTAATTCATGATGAACTGCATTAATCTCAAAATATCTGTGCTCTTCTCAAAATAAATTACATCAAAATATATCTATTCTCTTATGAAATTATAATAGTACTAAAACATAAGTGCAAATCATTATCTTGAAAGCCCCCACTTATCCTTACACTTTGAGCTGCAGTAGTGGTTTTTTTTTTTTTTTTTTTTTTTTTTTTTTTTTTTTTTTTTTTTTTTTTTGAGCTGCAGTAGTTTCTTTCATGCATGGTCCCCTTCTTGGCAAGTTCCTTAGCTTTCAGCTCTAACGCCCTTAGGAAGTGCTTGTATTTGAGTGGTATGTATGTAAATAATATACTTTGAATGTTAGATAAGTAAATATAATAGTTTTGAGTGTTATGTACGTAAAAAATTCTATTATGTTTTGCTTTTATTTTATATTTTTGAATGATAATTATTCAAATTACTTAAATATTTGTGTGCCGGGTTTCCGAGTTTTAAAGATCAATTATTATGTTTTGCTTGTTTACTCTATATTTGATTATTAGGTTTACAATTATATTTGATTATTAGGTTTGCGAGTTTTATATTTTACTTTTAAAGCTTTACCAATTGCAAGTATTAACTATAAGATCTCAAGAGAAAATTCGATTTCATCAAAATGGATAAATTTACCTTGTAATGCCTTTAATTAACTCTCTCTACATTAATCTTTAATACACCCTTTTTTTTCCCTCACTAAGGTTTCGTTTGGGGCGGCTTTCTTATTGCTTCTTAAAGCAGTTTTCTGGTATAAAATTTTTAATTTTTAATAATAATAATAAAGCCGTCCCAAATGAAGCCTAAGTTTATAAGTGAATTAGTACTTGCATACTTATGAAGTAAGGTTTTTTTATATTTGTTTATTTAATTAAAAAAAAGTATTACTTCTTTAACAATTAGATATATAGATGAATGAATTTAGACTTCGTTTGCTTCTTACTCTCCTTTGTAAAAGACAGTTTTAGAAATATTGATTAAGAGAATGAAGTTTTCTATCAAAGAAGTAAATATCAAAAGCTTCTCAAAATATTAGAAAAATAAAGTTCCCTAAAAAGCATTTCTATAGAAGCGTTCCATACAATTAGTGACAAAAAAATAATTTCACCGTTTCTAAGCAGAAAAGGTAAAAAACGCCGAAACAAACGAGGCCTTAAATTAACTCAAATGTGCATCTTTATCTTTTTTTTTTAATTATCATTATTTTTCATTTACTTCTTTACTTTAAATTTTATGTATTATATTATTTAAGGTATGATTTAAATATAAAACAAATGACTAAATATATAATTAAGTTTATTTTCTAATTATTTAAATGCCATAAAATTATAGAAATCATACTTGATTAACTATAACAATTTTAATTAATAATTTTAACATCAAATATAAGAATTAAAAAAAAATTCCAATCGCAATTAAATTCGACTCGATTTAAATAAAACAAATGAACAGTCTTAGACAAGATAATATTCTATTATCTCAGTTCATTTACAGCCGCAAGCGGAACATCAGAAGCTTCCCTAATCTTTCGGTCAAATGACCGGCGAATGTAGTAAACCTTCCGACTTAAAACTAGAAAATTATAAAAACTTCCACACCGAAAAGAATCTTTACAGTAATTTACAGTGATCATCCCCCCGATTCCCGCCACGTGTTCAATCACGATCATCCACTACTCCGCCGGGGAAGGCAGCGCCGCCGTTCCTCCGCCCTCCAAATCCGGCGTCGCTCCAGATACGTTGTTCCGGTTCGGCTGAATTTCCAGCGTCAGGAATCGCCGAAGCAACACGACCCGGTTGATCGGCCACTTCAGAGCTTGCCCTAACCCTAGCCGCTCTGCTTCTTCGCTAAAATCGTTGATTCCCCCCTCCGGCATCTCGATCGCGATTTCGACTTCACCGGAATCGGATGAGGACGAGCCGATTTCTTCCTCCCGCTGGCATGACGGCACCGCCTCGACGGCGGAACGGCAGAGGGGGCAATTGGAGTGGGAAGAGAACCACATATCGATGCAATCGATGTGGAAACTATGGCCGCATAGCGGGAGATTGCGGATCTTTTGGCCGTCCTCGAATTCGTTAAGGCAAACGGCGCAATCGCATTCGTCCGACTCGTCGTCGTCGCCGGCGCCAGGAGAGTAAAGGAGAACTGGGAGGGATTTGAGGATGGCGGGGTCTATGGCACGGTTGGTGGATGGAGACTGGTTTTCTCCAGCAAAAATGAAACGGCGGCGCCTCCGCCTCGCACGGCGCGTGGCGCGGCGGAGAACGTGCCAGCGGACGTAGAAGTGGAGGAAGAGGATGAGGAGGACGATGGAGAAGAGGATTACGATGGCGCTGAGCATAATTTTGCCGCTGAGGGCGTAGCTATGGGGCGAAGGAACTCCACCTCCGCCACCTCCACCGCCGCCGCCGCCGCCGTCGGTTTTGTGCCAACTATGGCCATAAGGGCTAGGGTCCATTTCTGCTGTGTTTTCGCTATTTTTTTCACGATGCTAGAGTAGGGAAAGAGGGCGGAAACGGGGCTTGCTTTATAATGGAATTTGAAAAGCGGAAGTTCGCTACGTGAAAAAGGAAAAAAATTGTGGCAGGACAAAGTGGTGGAAGTTGTCATTTGCATTAATAATTAATTTTAGGAAAATTTACGTACATACTATTTTATAACATCATATTTATATATTTAGCACCTAAAATTTTAATATTACATGCATACCACCTTATATTATTTTAATATCAAATATACCACTTATATTTCTTTCCTACCACTCACCTCACCTTCTTCTCCAGCTTTTCAGCAAATAACGTCAAATTTTCAGCCCGTAAGCTGCCTATCTACTGCTATTACAACATCTTCTTCTCCAGCTCGCCGCACAGCAAATTTTAAGCCAACCATTTGGAATGATAACTTCATACAATCGCTGCCAATTGATTTCATGGTGATGACTTTGTTATCTTATAAATTCTTTTGAGTAATTATGAGGAATTTTTTCTATTAGATCTAATCTCTTAGAATAGAGGAATATCTACTATTATAATTTAGGCTTTTATTAAATGTGAGATTAATGCAAAATGATAAAATAAATTCAGCTGATTTAAAATCCATTGGTTCATATTTTAATTTTTCACAGAGGCAAAACCTTTAATTAAGGCATAATATATGTGAACATACTTCTATGTCATTATAGATTATAACTTGTATTTTTATTTGTATATACACATAGTGGAATATATTTGAACCTTTATCTTGAATGTTATATGATTTAATTATTATACTTATTTGATGAATGAGTATAACATCTGACAAGTTCATTAAGGAATCAATACATTCACACGTACAGGAAGAGAAGTATATACAACAAAGGAATACATTGAAGGAGAAAGTGAGGAGTTTGATTGGCCAACAACATGACCTTATTGAACAACTTGAATTCGTGGATGCCCTATCCCAGTTGGGCCTTGATTATCATTTTCATTCGGAGATCAAGAACCTCTTGTGTTTCATTATTTCATCAATGGAGGATGAAAATAATTCAATTGAAGAAAACAACCTTCATGGTTCTGCTTTGCTCTTTAGGCTACTTAGAGAACAAGGTATCAAAAATGCTTCAATACCAAGGTATGTACCAATATATATATATTATTTAGTTCAATTTAAATCTATATAATATATTATTTAGTCAATTTAAATCTATATAAAGAGTTCTAGTTCAAGAGATTTATTCTTTGATGTCCTTAGTGTGTATGGTGGTAACAAGTTCTCACGCCTGCTAACAATGATAATGGTATTTTTTTTCTATTAGTAAGCAAGCTTAAACTCTTAATATTCACAAAATATGACATAAATGTCAATGAAAGAAACAAGTCGCTTAGTTAACTTCAAATAGTAAATCAATTCAAGCTCATCATGATAACAAGTATGCCTAAAATGTTATGTACTCTATTGACAGAGTAAATGCTTTGATTAGTTGCTTTAAGAAAGAGAGAGAAAACTTCAATCAAAATCATGAACATATTGTCAAAGGAATGCTTAGCTTATATGAGGCTTCATACCTTGCTGTGGAAGGAGAAGAAGAATTGGAAAAAGCAGGAAAACTTGCAATGGATCATTTAAAATGCATTGATAGATCTTTATTTACACAACAATTTATTGAAGAAATAGATCACGCCTTGGAGTTACCCTTGCACTGGAGAATGTCAAGGTTGCATACTAGGTGGTTCATTGATGCTTATGGGAGACGAGAGAACTTTAATCCCACATTGCTTGAGTTGGCTAAACTAGACTTCAATATGGTGCAGGGTATCTATAAGGTGGAGCTACAAGAATTGTCCATGTAATTTGTTCTTCTTGTTTATTTTTATATGTATAGTTCTTCTCATAATTAATTCATGAAATATTAATGCATCTTCATTTGATCCTCAGGTGGTGGAGGAATCTTGGTCTTGTTTGTGAAGAGCTTGACTTTGTTAGAGATAGATTGGTGGAGAACTATTTAATGTCGATAGGAACTACATTTCAACCTAATTTTGGGAGATTGAGGAAAGCACTCACAAAGATTATTTGTTTTGTAACAACAATTGATGATATTTATGACATCTATGGTACCTTGGATGAACTAAAGCTCTTTACAAATACTATTGAAGAGTAAGTCATTGCATATGCATAAGTAATTTGATTACTTACTGTTGACAAATATTAAGAAACAATAGTAATGTGATTATAACTAAATGCAAACAAATATAGTTCCTTAAATTATTCTCAATTAACTTTCAGATGGAAAATAGATGCAAGTCAACAACTTCCAGATTGCATGAAGATATGTTCGATCGCAATTTTAAGTACAATGAATGATATTGCCACCTCATTCTCAATGGAAAAAGCTTTGGATATTCTTCCATGCCTAAAAAGAGCGGTAATACAATATTTAATTCAATTAGTATGTCCTTCACTATTTAAAAATAGATTCAATCTTCTTTTTAAATTTTTTTTAATGTTTAGATATAAAACTATACTAAGATTTAAATTAGTAGGAAATTTTTTGAACTTGCTAAGATAATATATTTGTTTTTCTTTTTCCTAACTACAATAAGTTATGTTTGTATTATAGTGGGTTGATTTCTTCAAATCACAATTACTTGAAGCAAAGTGGTATCACAATGGATACACTCCGACATTGGATGAATACTTAGAGAATGCTTGGGTTTCAATATCTGGAAATATTGGATTAACCGCAGCATATTGTCTAAGTGATGACTTGACTATTGAATCTCTTAATAGTTTGGAGTTTTATCCACATTTCATTCGCTATTCATGCACAATTGTTCGGCTCTATGATGATTTACAAACATCCACGGTAAATACAAGTATTTATTTCATATATAAGAATATAAAATTAATGTTTCCTTTCTTTTTCTGTATAAATTGCATGTTCATAATGTAATGCTACTTGTAAGCTTATTACAGGCGGAGATCAAAAGAGGAGATGTTCCGAAATCAATTCAATGCTATATGAAAGAGAAAAATGTTTCAGAATCAGTTGCTCGAGATTATATTAAATGTTTAATAAGAATTTATTGGAAGAAGTTGAATCAAGAATGCGCCACAATATCAACATTATGGGAGCCATTTAGAAATGATTTATATGGTTGTCCAAGAGCAGCACAATGCTTCTACCAACATGGTGATGGATATGCAGAGTCAAATCATGAAACTAAGGACCAAATAAATTGTGTCATAATTGAGCCAATTGCACTTTAAAAGTAACACCGCTTAAAAAGGAGAAATTATTATGTGCGGAGTCCATATGTAATTTGCATCCAAAATCCAATCAAAATAGGCCACGTTGCCTGTACACAGCCTTAGTACAACCTTGTACACATGGTGTGTTTAATATACACCTGTGTACAGTCACGTGACCAATTTTGATTGGATTTTGGACGCATCTGGACCTCGAACAAAATAATTTCTCCTTAAAAGAGAGTTTCCTTTTCCCAATTATATATTATGTGTAATTTAGCTCATGATCGACTTTGTTACCCAATTGAATAAATATTGTAATTTTCTATAGGTATTAATAAGAGAATTTTCTATTTGAAGTATCATTAAGAAGAGATTTTTCTATTTGATCCACACTTAAGCTTAGTTTGTGACAGCTTTTTATTGCTTTTTAAAGTAATTTTTTTACTGTAAAATTTTTGAATTAAAAATCTTTGTATTTGGAAGCTGCTATAAGAATTAGTAAAAAAACTATCCCATATGAAGCATCAAGATAATTTTCTTAATATTTTTCAAAGCAATTTTCTGGTACAATTTTTTTTTTTTAAAATCAACAAAAACAATATCCCAAATAAAACCTTAGAATAGGGCTATATTAATATTAATTTTAAGTTCTAATAGATAAAAGATTTTTTATTCAATTATAAGATTTTAATTTAGTTAAAGCGTTTGATAGATGTAATGACTTCGATATAAATAATATCAATTAAAAATTAAACAATATGTTCTTTAATTTAAGATACTTGATTTGATCAATTCTTCACCTACAACTGTATAATCTCAAGCATATTATTTTCATTAGTTATAAATTCATTATTTATTATGCACTAAAAACTCATTTAGACACAAACTTAAAATTTTTAATTATAATTCTTTGCTGAAGATATGGTCATATATTATGCTACATAATTTCTCAAAATAACTACTATAGTAGATATATGTTATTGTCTACAGTGTAGCAAACTATGTCAGAGCAATTTTATGCATATTATACAATTCTCTTAACATTTTTTTTTTGCTACTATATTATTGAATGTATATTAAATTATGATAGAGCAACCTTATGTCATTTTTTAACTTACATCTTCAATAGCATTAAGTTAATATGGCTTTATTTTTAATTACATCTTTAACTTTTTATTACCTATGGTATCAGTTGAGCTTGCTCAAGATTTAAATGAGATAACAAATGCGATTACTCGATGTTATAAACATTAACATTAATGACAAATAAGGTTATAAGTGGTAATTTTATTACTGGAGTTTGTTGGATACTAGTTCATGAGATATTTGTTGAGATAACATGCAATAGTTTGGCTAGCTTACATAATATTCGAATGAGTTTTCATAAGATCACAGATGCATCATACAAACAACTATCAGTCATGATTAGTCAACTAAATATGGATCGTAATGGTATTTCAAACTGAGAGTGGATGAAAGAAAAAAATATGGGACACATTTGTATCTTCAAAGAGCATTTCTCAATCACAAGAAAAAGCTCTTATAAGGGGAGGACTTGTAGAAAATTTAAAATAACTTGAATTTAAGTTATAAATTAAGTAGTAGCATCACACATAACCAATTATAAACTCATATACATATATTTCAAAAAAAAAAAAAAAGAGTGAAAGAATTGAATGATGAATGTACTATCAAGATATGCTTCTATATGATTTTGATAAACTAGTCCAGCTGGTCCAATACTTGAGCTAACCCCTTGTATATAGCAGATGTAAGCCTGTTGTTTTCGCCCCTCGTGGGTTCTGCAATCCCCCCCCCCCCACTCTCCAATGGGCCCTATGGCTTAAGTTGAGAGAGAATGATGAATTATGATGGAAAATTTAAATTATGAGGGTTGTTTAGTTCTTTTGGGAGTTATGTTGTGTGCTTTATGTGGTAGGGTTGGATTAGGGTTAGGGTTATCTTGAGTTTTCTAATTTTTTGTGGTGCTTTGGTGTTCTTGGGCTCTAGTGGCATCTAGAGATTTGGGAGAGATAGATTCTCCTCTCGAATTGAGGATCAATTATACCTTATTATTTTCTTTCATCTACTATTCAATCAAGGGTGTTTTCTTATTTTTCCTCCATTAAATCTTCAAAACATGTTTGGCGAGATAATGGCCAAAATCTGTTAGAAAATTGCATTTACGGCGGATTTCCGGCGAAAAAATTTGCGCCGGTTTCAGGCGCGTCGGAAAAGAACTTCCGGCGCAGATTAATTCGCCGGAAACATTTCCGGCGCATTTCCGATGGATTTTTCGCTGGAGCACTATTTCCGTCGGATTTTTAAAGCGCCAGAATGTCAAAAAAAAAAAAAATCATTTCCGACCGACTGCTTCCCCATCCCCGCCCCCCCAGCCAGCCCAAACCGCCTAGTCCGGAACCGCGTTCCAGCCGCCCCGACATGACCTCCTGCTCGCGAACCGCGCGTGGCCGCCTCCCTGCCGCCTTCGACGGGGTTCGAACCCCGCCCATCTCTCCTCACGCAAATGATGCCGCGCCTTCTGCCATATAGTCATAAACCAAAAACTGTAATAGTTGTTACTTTTTATTTATTTAACCTATTACTTATTAATTATTAAATCAGTTAATTTAATTTAACAAACAAAGTTAAAATTATTTAACATAATTTAACAAAATAAATAATTTAAAATTTTTATTATCATTTAAGATTAAATTTAAATCATTTGCTTTTTGTTATTAAATAATTAAATTAAAATTTATTTTATTATTATTTAAGTTATTAAATTCAATAATTTAAGTTAGTAAATTCAATAATGGGGGGGGGTAGACCATCCACTTGGGGAAGGGAGAACTATATAGGGGAGGATATATATGGGTAGATTTATATGGTAGAGAGATATTTCACCATCAATGGGTTGACGAAGGAGGAAAAATTGATGACAGTTGGCCTATGTTTGGAAAGGAAGGCATCAGCTTGGTACCAGTGCATAGACATGAGGTGACCCATATAGAGTTGGAGGAAGTTTAAAGAGTGCTTATTGGAATGATTCTGAGCATACAAGGGAGGGTACTTCTATGAGCAATTATTTGCCCTAGTATAGGAAGGCTTGGTGATAGAATACTGCAAGAGATTTAAGTATTTGGCGAGTCGATTGGATCAGTTGTGTAAGACTATTCTAGAGGGAAATTTAATGAAGGGGCTCAAATCAGATATTGGATCAGCAACAAGAGTCATGAAGCATCGAGACTTGGGAGAGGCTATGGAGCTAGCTCAACTGGTAGAGGATTAGAAGTACCATGAGAGAAAAGCTAGAGGTAGCAGTTTAGGTGGTTCATATAGGATGACCACCACTTTCTTAGCACCCAAGTGGCTTACACTGGCAACCTTCACAAAATATTGAGGGAGATGCCTATGAGAGGAGGAAGTGTGGGACATTTTAAAATGCTAACTGATATGGAGGTACATGAAAAGAGAGCAAATGGATTATGCTTTTGATGCGATGAGAAGTATACTCCGGGATATATGTACAAAGACTGAACTCTTCAGGTTCTCACCGTTTGTGATAATGAAAATGATAATGAGGGTAGAGGAGAAGGACAAGCTGTATCTGAATGTGGTAGAGGTCTTCTTAAACTCAGTGGTAGAATTCACTCTTAATAACATCATGAAGGTAATGAGGAAAATATTAGACTGATAGGTGGTAACATTGATCAACAATCAATAATTTCATCTCCAACTAAGTCGTTGACCAATTGGGGATGACTTTGGTGGATACAAGGAACTATGGAATGATGATGGACATGAAGAGTTGACCATACAGGAGATTCAAGTAAGAGGGGATTTTTTTCCAATGGAGTTAGGCAGCATTGATGTCATCCTGTGAATAAAGTTGTTACAGACCTTAGGGAATACCAAGGGCACTAACTATGGAGATGTTGGTGGAAGGGAGAAGAGAGAGATGCAGGGTTATCCAAAGCCATAATGTTCCTCAAAATCTTGATGAGGAACATACAATAGGTGGGGGGAGGTTTCCTAGTGGAGCTACAGAGATTAGAGGGAATTATATTGGAGTAGGGTGGAGACATTCCTCTTTATGTACAGTCATTAATACATTAATTCATAGAGGTTTTTCAACAACCTCAAAAATTTAACCCCCAAAGGAGGAGGAGCATGTCATCACCCTGAGGGATGGGGTGTCACATATGAGTGTCAGACCCTATCATTACCCTCAATTTTAGAAGATTAAAATTGAGAAATTAATCAGAGAAATGATGGAGGCAGAGATTATCAGGCCTAGTGTAAGCCCTTTTTCTAGTCTAGTTTTGTTAGTTATGAAAAAGGATGAGAGTTAGAGGTTATGTGTGAACTACATGGCTTTGAAAAAGGAAACTATGTCAGATACGTTTCATATTCCAGTAATAGATAAGCTAAGTGGGGTAGTTATCTTCACCAAGATAGATCTGAAGTCTGGGTACCATCATATTCATATGAAAAGGGAGGATGTGCCAAAGATTGCTTTTATAACATATGAGGGACATTATGAGTTATTGGTGATGCCTTTTAGCCTCACTAATGCCCCTACTAAATTTCAGTCCCTAATAAATAGGGTATTCCAACCATATCTATAAAGATTTATGTTGATTTTCTTTGATGATATACTTATATAAAGCATGTTAGATGAACAATATTGGGAACACTTAAGGATGGTCCTAGAGGTGTTATAGGAGCAACAACTGAGAGAAAATTTGAAGAATTGTTGCTTTGCACAAGTTAGGATGGAGTACTTGTGACATGTAATATCTTAGAATGACATAGCCACGAATCAGGCTAAGATCGAGGCAATACTAAGATGGCTACTACCAAAGAATCTAAGGGAGATTAGGGGCTTTCTAGTGTTAACAGGATACTACAGGAGGTTCATGAGGGGCTATAACACCATTGCTTGGTCATTGATAGAATAATTAAAGAAGGATAACTTATTATGGGGTGAGGCGACAATAGTAGTTTTTTAGAGGTTGAAGAATGCCATGACCACCATACCAGTCCTAGCCCTACCAGATTTCAAATAGGTTTTTATAGTGGAGATGAATGTATCATGGTATGAATTGGGAGCAATACTTATGCAAAGACACCGACCCATTACTTACTTCATCCAGGTGTTGATAGCTAGAGCTAGGCTGAAGTTAGTCTACGAGAGGAAGTTGACGGCCATTGTGTTAGCTGTCAAGAAGTGGTGACCTTACTTGTTGGGTTGACATTTCATTGTCATGATGGACCACC